TTCCTGAATTTGTAGAATAAAATTACTATTTTCTTTGTACATGAGATGTCATAGAAAGGTGTTTTAAAAGCTATAATAAAGCGTTTCATTATGACTCTTAATGTAAGATTGTCCTTAAGTTCCAGTTATGATAATAATCTACTTCTTACAAAATAAATAAACAGAATATTAGTACTAGCTCAGTTTCTTTAATATTAATAATATCATATTACGTTTGCGATATTTCTTATTAAATTTCTTTCGCTTTTTTTGCATTCGTTTACATTTACGATGGTATATATTTATTGTTTATTTTACTATCATTGTTGAGAGATTAGATTTTATTACGAAAGCCGGATTGTATAAAAATGTCCATTACAAAAGACTATAAGAATTCTTACACTACACATTTGCCAAATAACTGGTAAACAATACCAGTGGAATGTGCTTAAAGGCGAATCATAAGTACTCATTCTGGGTTTCATTGTACACTGTTGGGAATACGTACATAAGCGTACTTTTGTAAGACAAATGGAACAAAAAAATTTCACCACTCATTAACTGCATTTATCACTCTGCAACCTTTCTTGCAAGGGAGGGTTTCCAATTGTCTGCATCAAGTTCATACTTTTGTTTTGTATTTTGTGCCAATTGTTAGTGCCAAAATTTCTTGAAGCATTCATTAGGCAACTTAACGTTTTTCTACTTGTTTCATCTAAACTGTTTTTATCAGATATTTTCTAATTGCGCGTTTTTTAATAGAGCAAATATATCATAATCAGCAACAAAATTTAAAAGGTTTTAATTAATTACAGTGATTAGTGATTTTCTAACAAAACTTTAAAATAAATTTGTGTATCTAACGCTTTTAAATTGCATAAAAATTGTAGTAACGCAAACAGATTACAATGAACGCTATTATTTGAAAATAAAAAGGAAGAGTACATAATGTATTTGATGTTGAAAAGTAAATGTTGTTGAAATGAATCGATTGATGATTTATTTTCTCAAATATGTTACCAAATTTCTCTATTAAATCCATTAAAATTTTCAAATTTTGCTTTACCTGGAACTAGTTATTTTGTTTAGATAAAACAAAAGCGACAAATTTTCGAGTAGATTTATTGCCTTACAAAATGAGTGAAGGAATTAAATGTAAATACTATTCCTTATAACATAAATCTACACAATAATTTCAGAACTAATAAAAAGGCAATTTGAAAGAATTAGCGGAAGAAAATTTGTAGACAATTCATAATTTTTATAGGTGCCCACCAGCGGCCGAGCGGTAAAATCGCTGAACACTGGTAGTTCGGTCCGAGGTTTGAATCCCGCAAACGGGTTAGCAGCTGCATGGGCATTTTCGTGGTTAACCCCATGTGTAACGTGTATACGAGCCAGTTTCCCTTAGAAAGTCCTTCACGAAGGCATCCCTTCCCTTTGGCAGATAGCCTTCGAGGCTTTGCCGTAATTACAGAAACCATAATTTTTATAATGTAATACTGTAAGCGTCATTAGGTTATTTCGAAGCTGGAGAGATGAAAACTGAACAATGCCCTCGCCGGGATTCGAATCACGGACCTCTGGAATACGCGTTGAGCGTGCTGACTACTACACCGCGAAGGCATGCTAAGAAGGAGGGAGAAATACCTTATAATACAAAATAAAATAGTATATTCTATTTTATATTAATAATTATAATTCCTGCGGAGTTGTAAATACGTAATATTACATTCTGCAACATAATTATGCTTTTAAATGTTATTTAATTGAAAGATAAATGTTGAGAAGACGATTGATTTTGGTAGGCTACCGCTATCTCTGTAATCTTCAGATCGAATTAAGCGACTGTATGTGTATTAATAGCAGAAGCTGATCCAGAAGCAACCATTCTGGACTTAAAACAGCTAAGATAAAACGCGTTTGAAAGTAAGGTAAATTCAGTACACCGCAGACAGTGGATAAACTGCATTAGTTTAAAAAGCTTAGGAAGCCTCAAAGTTTTATCTTTAGTCGTTTAAGTCTAGAATGGCTTTTATTGGGTCAATGTACGTTATTGTTACGTTTATTTCAATTCACTGTTACACGTTTTCTGAGTTATTCATATTGCTTATCAGCGCGAAAAGTGTATTAAATAAGAATTAGAAATTTAAAAAGCAGTTACATAATCTTGCGTATTTTGTAGAATGGATGTTCTCACTTTAAAGTAAATTTCCAGTAGATCTATCTGAGGCTGTAAACTTCGAATAGATTTATCTAAAAACATAAAAGAGAGAAAGAAGGGTGAAAAATGAAGTAGATGTAGTGATGCTAAAAGGAGATTCGTTCAAACTCTTTTCTTATTTTTTCTTTTTTAAACATTGGAAGAAAAATCTTTTCGAGCTGTTTATCATTTTCAGCTCACAGATTTCGCATCCTGGCAAAGTTAAAACCTTCTGCCACTCGAGGGATATATTTACTGTAAACCGCAAGTACAGATTAAGTGATAAAATAAATTCAGAAGTGCATCTTCAATAATTAAATTTTTCTTCATTACTAATATAACTAATATTGCCATAAATCTAAGCGTTGTTAGCTTTTTAAATATTTTCTTCTTCTCCTCTAAAACTAACTCTTACACTGAAGGTATGTGTGTTGGTATTATAACAGTATTTCTTTGAGGAAATCCACAGTGGTACATTTCAAAATGTTTATATCACAGTCCAGGATTATACAGCGCATTTTCAAAGGAAATAACATCCTGTCCTTGCAACAGAAGCAAGTGCTCTTTCATACAGCATGGGCGCCTTTGTCCAAGTCTTGTTCAACACTTGCTGCGATCGACATTTAACGAAGACTCCTTACTCGCTGTCTCCTCATACGAATGACATCTAACCACCTTATGATGCTTGCACAGTTATAGTCACAGGAGGTATACAGAGATCGGTCGACGTTACTATTGATATCGAAAGAAGTTATTCTCGATCACGTGATTGGAATTACAACTGAGTCCTCATCAATACTTTGCTGAATATCGTGCCACGTGCCACGTCTTATACTTTGCAGAATATCGTGCCATGTCCACGGTTATTCTCATAAATGATAGTCCCAATGAACAGTTGTAATCTTAACTGTGTCACGAACTATGCAACAGTATTGAACAGACATCTGATTTAATTGAAGCACCATCTGCCGGTGAAAAATGTAATTATTTTTGCAATTTCTATAGGCTATACCTTTCATTATTATGAAACGTCCCATGTGTTTCGGTGCACTTCTGTGCAAACTGCACTTGCTACTATCTACACATTCCGAATTAATGAATTTTTACTTTTTCTGTTACTTCTGGATTACCTGGTAAATATAGTTATAAGGTATTTCTCCCACCTTCTTAGCGTGCCTTCGTGGTGTGGTAGTCTGCACACTGGGACGGTATTCCAGAGGTCCGCGGTTCGATTCCCGGAGAAGGCGTTGTTAATTTTTCATCTCTCCTGCTCCCCAAAAAATACCTAATGTATTTTTTTGGGGAGCATGACATAGTTTTCTAATATATATATTTATCTTGTCCGTCTTTCAAATTTTCGAAAACAAAGTCAAGAGAAATTTCATTTATTAAGCATAACTTAAAATTTATTATATATTGTGAGATTTTTGTCCTCAAAATTCCTAACTACTTACTATGTTGCACATAATTTATCTCTGTTGTGAATCAATATACATCCGATGATGCAACAAGAAGGCTTTACTATTTAGGTCTTTTGATAGTTCAAAAAACAATGAAGCAATTTAAAATTTTGCCTAAAGTTATAATTTTACTTTTGACGGGGCATTTATTTCAATTTTAAATCCAATCCTTGTAAATCTGTATTACTATCTAAAGTAGTGTTTCAAAAACATTTGTTTCAAAATGTTAAGATTCAAAATTATTCGAAAGGTTACTTACCATCTTTTCAAGCAAAAATATTTCATAAGAAAGATAACGGATCAATTATCATTCTCCATAAAATAGAATTCCTATGAAATATTTTATAAACTAATTAGGATTATCTTTCAAGTGCCCATTAATGTTTTCTACCAATACAAGCTGCAAATGCTGTATGTATTTTGCTGCTAAGTGGTACTCAATATGGAATATTTAGTAGAACTTAAGTGTAAAATATTAGATATTATTTCATTACATTTACCTAAAAAAATTCCCCCATGTATATTTTCTTTTCCGATATTCGTCTGGTGTTGATTATTCACATCCCTAGATGTATCTTTTTCTTCGAATTCATTATTCATTTCCTATTGTATTGATGCATGATTTTATGCATTGATATCCGTATATTGAAATATTTTCTACGAATTGCAGTCCTTCTCTCTTATGACAGGAGCTATCGTCTCGAATACATCGTACTTGCTTTCTGCTTCTCTTGCTAGCTAAACATTCTCTTTCCAAAAATGCAAAAATTCTTAACAGTATTGCGGCCCATTTATTTATGTTGGTTTATTAAAATGCTTTGTCAACTAAAATAGAAAGAAATTAGACGAAAAAGGAGCATAAAGAATTACTTCTGACATTGAGGAATAGGAAACTTCATTTCAAAATACATTTTTTATACTAAATCTAATAACAGTTTTTTGATGAGAAAAACATGAAAAGTTGTTCTCACCGTTGTATAACACCAGATGTTTTCTGGTGTTTTTAAAGTTTTTGGAGGTGCAAAAGTTTCAAATAAAGTAAAAAATGGTAACAGTTTCTAATTATTTCTTACGTTACAAAATAAATTTTTAATTGAATACTATACTATTTTTAGAACACTTCCTCCGAAACCATACTCAGTGCGAGTTATTTTTACTTTTAATTTAATGTCCTTGTATATTCAGTGGTGTGGTGTTTTTTTAATCAATACGGATTAATAAACAGGTGTATTTATGGTTCGTTAAGGACATCAAAATTTTTATTTTGCTCTCAACTAACGTATACTTGCAGTGTACTTATTGAATGAAAGTTAACATAGTTGATTTACTTTTTTTTTTTTTTTTTTTTTTTTTTGAAGTGAGCGAAGTGAATGGGCAGAAACGTTTCCCAACGTCGCAGTCGACGGGTAGTGCACTGTCAGAATTACCTCTGAAGATGGCAGAAGACACGCACGAGGATACCCCCGTCGAAGGGATTGCTCTCAAAAGACGAGTCGGCCTCGTAAGCGGAGTAGCACTAATCGTGGGAACTATGATAGGTAAGCAGTTTTTCCCTTATCTTTACCAATGCAAACGATATAGGAGGGCAAATATATTCCCAAATTTCATAAAAAAGAAGGCTTAACATATACTGTATTATATCCAACTATCATAAATTGAAGTTTATAATAGATGTGGTTGAGTACGAAACGAGAAGTTCCTCTAGGGCCATGAAGCTTAAAATTATACCATTTTGCAATGAATCTTGTATTTCTGTATTGTTTGATACTAAAGAACCTCTGTAACATGAAACCTGCTTCGCAGAAATATGCAGTCGTTATAAACATTGCTTTCTTATGGCCGCACACGAAGCTCATTAAGCATAGTCGGAAATGACCTAACCCGCTGATCGTTTAGCGATCTCATCATCAAGGTAATGCATTACACGAGCTACCGATAATACACCCGTAAGAGGGAGAGAATAAGCATTTGCAGACGTCCATGCCTCCTTCAAGATTTGAACCTTCTCCAAGCTATGGCATCTGGCTTCCCTAATCGCTATCGAATAGCAGTTAAAAATGTATTTGTTTATGCTTTACATATTAGTTCTAAGAATGTATAAAGTAGATTCTTTATGAATTATTCTGTTAACATAAAGTTTGCTGTGCCAATGTGAATGCGAACTATTGTTAACTTACTTTAAACCGCTAATGCTCATAGTTTCAATATGTTCGATAAGAATAGGAGATATCAGGTATAAAGATGATAAAGAAGATCCTCTAAATGTCTTCAGATTCATAGGATCGAATATTTGTCTCTTCCTTCCCAGATCCCAGAACCTAAGTGCTTATGGAGGCGTTACATCGACATTTAAGATTTCGTGTTGCATTTCTATCACGGAAGTCTATTCAGTCACGGAAGAAATAACCCATTTACCGTCCTTCTAACCAGGATTTATATAGCGAATACTATAATCAACAAATCGAACGACAGTGATAAGCTGTTTTTTGGAGCAGATTATTGCCAGACCGAAACTACATTTGCTTTATTTTTCAGAAGCTTCTATAACATTAACTATTAATTTCAACCAAATTTCACTCACATAATAGAAATGCGAGTTTTTGGACCACATCTAATGCAATAAAAATAGGCTTTAACAGCTGCAACGAGTGTTTTACTTCTTTAATAATAATGATATTATTTAACATAATCATTAAAAATTTAAAGATAGAAATTTAATAACTCACTTTCCTGTATCAAAAATATAAATTTCCCACAACTCTTTCGTAAAGCGTTTTCGGTATCACGCAGAAAATGTAATTTTACTTTACGCGAAATTGACTGTGGAATTCTTAACATTTATCAGATAGCCCAAAACAAAATTATTCCATTGAATTATTGAAAAGTTTTTAAAGGGCTCACTTGATGGTAGTTTTAGATTTTTGAAACTAGTAATAATTTCTGGAGACATGAGCCATCCCATAAAGATAATACTATCTCTAAGTTCTTCAACTAGTTTGCAACAAATTATTGTCTGCAATTTACACAGTTTTTATTAAAGTATTTGAAAATAAGGAAAGGGTTCAAAACTTCAGTTTGATCTAAAAACAAGCGTGCAAGTAAAACGGTTAGTGTAACTTCTTATTATGTCTGCATAAGCGATCTTAACGATCTTAAGATCTGAAATAAATTTCTTTGTTTCCTTTTTTCAGGAGCTGTTGAAATGATAGTCCTGCATTAAAACTAATATAGTGTACTATAGAACAGTTTTAAATCTCAATATTTATTTTTATGGCTACCCCAAACTTGTTATTATCTGGATTAGTAATTTTACCTTTTAAGTTGAAGAAGGAGTTTATATCAAAATAACTGACTCCTTAAATTCTCTATCTCGTTTCTGGTTATTTTGTGGGAAATACTTAAATTGAAAAGTATTTGAAAGGCAGGATTCATAGGACTTGCTTAGTGATAAAAAAATGCAAATTGTTATAAGGAAAATATGTATGATACAGGAATAAAAATAAAACTACACTTTCAAATGATGTCCGAATCTTGCAGGAAAGTCATTCACTGGTAATTTAAGCTTACCTTCTGAATCATTCGCAATAAATATTAAAGACGTCAGTTAAACTTTTAAGACATATTACTGTATTGAAACTATAAGCCCTTGACATATATGCATATGATTGTGTTGATTCCCTCAATGCTGCATTACTAACATTGTACGCATATTTTAACTTCCCCTCTAAATAAAATGAAAGATATTTTTTTCAGTATCGCCGTATAGGTAATTTCATACACTTCATAGTATTTAACAAAGCACCAGTCTGTCCTTGACTTAATAATGAAATGTCAACAAAATATAGGCTTTTCAAAGATTCTAGTAGTTTTTTATGCCTTATAGGGTATGGTACTCGGGGCTTAACAGATTTGCAGCGAATTATCGCTGGATTTGAAAATAACAACAGAGTCTTGGGAAGGTTTCAAAATAAACCTTCATATTGAATCAGAGCTTGAACACGAACGCACTACTCGTACTTACAAATCAGCCATCATTCGTGGCGATGAAACGTAAAGTAACAGTAAAATTCAGGGTTATTAGCCAAAGATACACAGCTGATTTAATGTGAAATTACCTCAAAATTCTCACCGGCATAACAATTTAGAATGACGGCAGCTATAACACAAAAGCCGAATAGTACAGAAGAAACCTAGTAAAGTGACCTCGAGGGGCAAAAACATGTTCTATCTTAAAATCCGAAAAACTTACCTTAAATTATGTCAAACTCAATTGTCATTGTGGTAGGAAAATGAAAAAGAGAAGTGACAATGAAAATCTAAATAATAATAGCTGGTTAGATTAACATAATGGAAGCTTACAACCATATGAATAAAGAAATGAAGTCTGTAACTTTTCAGATTCCCCTCTGCCTTTATAGTTATCTTGCACTGAAAAAGACTAATTCTGGTCAAAACCTATTTCGGTGCAGTTAAGTTTTCTTTGCGAATTTGATCTATTCTAAACTCCTGAAATATACTTTTAAAATCCGTTTGACATATTTTCTGTGAGTATTGTCATGTACGCTTACGGACGTATTTTCAATTACTATTATTCAGAATCCATGGAAGTATTTTCAGTGACTGTTGTTTCAGTACTATGTTAAGTACTCTCGCGCATGTGTCAGTAATGTCAAGTAGTCCGGCTCACTCACGTCAATAAACAGACACATAATCTTGAAATATCAAGGCGAGTTCTGGAAAAAATATTAAGGATGTGCTTTCTGATTTTAAAAAAATATATCTTCAGAGATAGTAAAGCTATCTAATTTCATAATAGATTTTTTTCAAATACTTATCAAAACGCATGCAAGATCCTTCTGTTTCGGGCCTAGAATCTGCTGCTAAGCAGATGTATTGTTTTAACGGCAACTAGTGGGGGTGCAGTAGCACTACAGTGCACCTGCACTGCGCGAAAACCATAAAAACAATGCCTTCTTTTTTAAGGCAACATACGTAGAACATTCTTAGTTCGAGGTTTTTTTCGATTAAAAAAAAATTATTTGCTGTGCTTCCATTTTAACCTCAAATGCGTGTGTCAGTCCTAATGGCTAAAAATCGCAATGCTTCGAAAGCTGCACAATAGAACATGTTGACGACTTGTTTATTTTTAACCCTCTCCCAGGAAAGTCACTAACCGTTCCAACTGCTTCTGTTTAAAACTAGGCCAAAACGAACACCAGCAAAATTTTTTACATCATGAAATTGTTTCAGAAATATTTTTCGTAAATTCTTTCAGTTTCATCATAATGTTAGTTAAATTCTAATTTAATTACAAAAATTCATAGGGCATTTTATATAATGCAAGCATTTGGTTCTTGATGAAGTTTTACTGGCTAACGAATTGCAATTATGTTTACAGAATACGACTCTTATTCTTATACTTGTCAAAGTAGGAAAATTCCTTAATATTTTTCAAGTTGCGTTAGTTGGCATTGTACCAGTTTTCCTAGAACGCCATTCTAGAAGACAAATACCATAAGCGAATATTCCATAGAAATGAGTAATTCTTAGTTAATAATGAATGATTCTCAGCTTAATGTGTTTGTAATATATCTATATAATCATAAAAACATTTCACGTTGCACTCTGAAAATAAAGCTGGTTTAATAAGAAAATATTTCTTCTTTCAGTTCAATTCAAGCCTGCAGATTCACTTGATGAAACTCATGTGTGTTCCATATTTTTTCCATAGGCGGATAGGGTTATCGAGACATTTCCCGAAACGCCATTGGCCATAGTTTCGCCTTGTCATCTGATATAGATGGTTTAAAAAACGGATAAAACTTTTATCCTAACTCTAAGATTCGTGTAGCAAAAAATAATATAAATTCGTTGGAAGGGAAATATTAAATAGCACCTCCCGCCTCCCATAAAATAAACTAATAGTAAACGTTCTGTTTTAACTCCGTCGTCGTTAGTTCATCGACAAATAATAACTGTTGGTTCAAATTATTTATTCTGTAGCATTAAAGGAGATAATTTTCATATCCCCAAATCTTAATGATTTTGTATCGATGCTCTGTTATAAAAATGACTGTATGTTTGTGCAAATCCTTTACTATTCGCCGAGATACAGACCTTCAGACAGAAGTCCTAATATCTTAATGAAGGTCGCATTCCTCGTCATATAAATTGAGCTTCATAGGAATGATGTGTATCTACACCCTTGTATCTTGGCAAACAATGTTCAATTGGAAAAAACTCCAGACATTTTTTCTAAATAGACTGCGCCCATTAGACCAGCCCGACACGCTTCTGATTCTATCTCACAGTTTCTTACATCTTTCATTATTTTAGCTTTTTTTATAGATTAGGTTTTATAGATTAGAAGACTTATTTTGCTGAAATATTTTTTATGTTCCGTTCTTCATACTGCTTCACATTACGTATCTGCTTTCTGTCTCGAAAATGGTTCACAAGTGTTCGCTTTCCTAGAGCTGCGACGAACTAATAGTTCATCTCGAGTTCCGTTCTGGCAATGGAATGAGTTGAGGGCAGGGGGTTTTCAGGGCTTTTTCCAGGTATAACACAGATACGAGAGAAAAAGACGTTATAACGAATGGTGATTTTAACGAAAATTATTTTCATATACTTTTATCAACTGGGGACTTTATATACCGATTGTTATAATAGAATGGTCATCATAATGATTTATTTTATAGAGAGCGTTGACTGTTGTTTGTAATTTAATTAGGAACGGTTGTTTGATCATGATTAAACTGCAAAAATAAAGTTTCAATTTATATCTGTTACGCTAGTTTGATTAAATAGTAAATTCTTAGTGGATAATAATGAAACATTTACAGAACATGAGCGTAATGTCAGTTAAAAATTTAAATTGTATAATATTATGTCTTTTATTCTGACATTTACTCTCTACATTAAAAATGGTTCATTATATTTTTAGTAGTATGCAATATAAGCAGTACTTGTGTTCCTTTCTTTATATTGAATTTGGATGAAAAATATAAAAAGCATGACATTTAAAAATAATTCCATCTTTTGAACTTAGGTTCAGGTATCTTCGTTTCACCAAAAGGTGTTCTGCTGAGATCAGGTTCAGTCGGTGTCAGCCTTATAATATGGGCAGGTTGCGGCATATTGTCTCTGCTAGGTAAGTTACTTTCTTTCCATATTTTAATATTTTATAACTAAAGGCGGTTCAAATAAGCTTTTATAATTTTCTAACTGAAGCTGTATATTAAAAATGAGAAAATCTTTTACAGTCTTTTAATTTCTCACTTCAAGATCGTTATCTTCTGTTTTTGAACTAAGAAGTGAAATACTTAAATTGCTAGAAGAAGAAGGATATCTACATTTTACTGAGAAAATAAAAGTTCTAAATTTGGGCAAAATAAAATTTTAATTCAACTCTTTTAATGGACATTGATTTCTTATTTATTAAAACTCACTGACGATGCATGTAGCTAAAACCTATTACTTAATATCATGTCATTCGTTTAACTGATATAATAATAATTTTATTTGCATTGACATGTCATCACAAAAGCTTGTGAAAGCAATGTGTTGCACGAAACCAGCTTATCTTTACATCTTCTCGTATGCTTCTCTGACATTAAGAAAAATAATTTTATGGAAGCCTTTGTTCTGAGCTTTCTTACATTTAGAAATAATCCTTTAATTTCTATCCTCTAACTTGCTTCCATTTAGAATACTGGAATTAAAATAAAATAAAATAATTATTTTTCGATCTCATATGTATTGGTGTTGAAACTGTCTGCACACGAAAATGGGACAGACGTTCTGGAAATTATAATAAAAATAGTTGTAAGGGAGGGGGGGAAAGATTGTTTCTAGTAACACTTATGCACAGTATTGTGTATTCAAACATAACAGAAGTAGGTAAACGTATTGATAAATTTTAATGTAATATATTAATCATTAAGACTTACCTTAGCAAAAAAAGGAATACACATTGTAAAATTATGATGCAATAATGTAAATAAAAATATTTGATATTCAAACAAACTATGAAAATTAACACAGAAAAATGCATGTAAATAATCTGCAATTAATGAAAGATTTCTGTTAAATCAATGCATTCGTGTCGAAATATATGCACACTATGTCCTGAATTCCGTCAAACACAAGTTGATACAGTGATACGTGCATTCTATTACTCAGTATAGTAGTTCACATATGTTGTAGAATGATTACCCAATGCGGAATGACACACAGGTGCAAAGATTGGTTCCGGCTCCAGCAACTTGGAGCATCAGGCCCCAGAATTAGAGAGATGATGGCAAGAATGAGCTAATTTATAATAACCGCTCAGATTCCAAGTATGGCTTGCCACCACTTCCACCCTATGTGATCAGTCTGAAGTTCGTTTTTGTAGCACGGTTTTAAAGTAAATATTTTTCTAATCAAATCACGAAAACTTGAAAGCTTAGAGGAGATCAAAAAGGCATTACCTGGGAAACCCAGGAAAACAAATGATGTTTCATTACGCTGTGTTACGCAAAAATGCCGTATCAGCATGCTTGCCAGTATACAGACGTCTTATTCAGCATTAGCTAAAAATGTATATACGTATATTCATCATGAAACAATGTGAGCTTCCGTAAGCTATCGACAATTTCTCGCCTTTTTTATGATATACAGGAAAAAATGTAATTTGTGTTAATTTAATTTATTCTATGCAGCACCATACTAACCATACTAAAGTTTTCGGCGCTAGACAGCAGATTCAAAAATTCAGTTTTTAATCTTCAATTTAACTGCCAATGAGAAGAGATTCTAGGGAGCCAGCATTAAATACAAAATTATGCTTGAAATAAATCTATAACTTAAAGTTTTATGGAAAATCCTTTAAATTGATTCTTTACAGATGAAATTTTCATTTGTTAATCAAAGGTTTAGTAGCCTCTTTTTTGTCATAAAAGCTTTTAGTATATACTAATTTTGATATCAAAAATTATTTCTGATGAATTGAAACCTAAACTGATAAAATAATATCAAGTTTTTCTTAACCACATTTATTGTGTTAGGGTTCACTAATGTGATGTCTGTCAAAATACCTTCGAAATCATAATATTTTTTCTGAATGCCTTCAAGACTGATATTTGACAAACCATGTAAAGAAAAAAATGACTAGTGTCCATTTTTAGTTGCCTTATACTTTCAGTTACCATAACGCACGCAATATACAAAAGCATATAACGTTATTCTAAATTTCTCAATAGGGTTTGTAGAGAATCGTTGCTATGTTTGAATTGAAACTCTAATGGCTTATTCTTCGTCGAATTTCAACTGTAAATTTAAATTATACTTTTTATTTATTGTCATCTTTGTTATTACTTCGTAATTGCAGTTTCAGGCGCATTGTTTGTAATAACTATAACCAAAATTGGGGGAGAGATGGAGACACAGAAATGTTTTCTCTTCGTTTAGTATTTTTTGTATTTATATTGTGCGTTAAAAAAGGATTTCTTTTTAAAACGTATATATTCAGGAGGGGAAGGATATTGCATAGAATCCGCGGGTGTTTTCCTTTCCAAACTAGTCGGAAGTACATTGGTGGGAAGTATTTTCTTGTTAAAGAGGACTTTGCGTCTAACTTCAGAAATTTTTTTTCGGAAAATTTTATAAGATTGAATTTAAATAATTTTCTGAATAACCGAAGTCCTACTGTATAATACGCAAAGAAGGCTTCACTTTTTTAAATTATTCGATATTTACTGAATGTCATATCTTGTCAAAGCTGAACAACTAACACTACCGCTAATGTGAATGAGAGACAATAATTTTTCAAGATAAATCTACTGTCAGTTATACAAAATTACATAGCATGATAAAAATTCGTAGAATTCTTATTTTTCAATTCCTAACTATATTTCATACCCAACAAAGCTGTATTTCATTCTGAAAACAACCTGCCTTTATGTTAGTATAAATTTTCTTCTTAAATGATTTCTCTGAATATTTTTCCTAAATTATTTTTTCTGTTGGTCACGATTTTAGAACACATATAATAAAGTTATACACATAATGTGATATAGGACAATGTATGCTGAAATTTACGTCAACTTACCATGCTACTTTAAGCTATTATTTTATAAGAAATCACAACTTAAAGCAGCATGGTAAGTTAATGTATTTAATAAGAAATAAAGCATGGTTAATCTGACCTGAATTTTAATATATATTGTTCTTTAGTTCACCTAACCGTAAGATCGCGGCCGGTAGAAAAAAATTAACGTACTCGGTATTTGCTAAAATGAACGGAATAAACGAAGGTGTTGCAAAGATATGTCAATGAAACGAAGTCTAAATCAGCGAACAGAAATCTTTAGGAAAATGTAAGATGAAATATATTAAAGTACGATTTTAGGATTATAACATATTTCTATATTATTAATTCAGAATAATTTATTTCTAAGTGTTGGTTAATCAAAAATTCTTTAAAGATAATTTTGTAAAGTTCGAAATCATGGAATAATGTAACATTTTTCAGAAATTAAAGTTTCGCAAGTTAAAATGACGGTGTTATAAAAAAATTACGAAATAATATCAGTGAATAAAAGCATCAATACAAAAAACAAAAATATAGAGAAAAATGGCCAAGAAAAAGTGTGAAAAGTTTCAGCTCGAATGAAATAAAGAAAAGGAAAAACAAATAAAGAGTGCTTCAATAAATTTATTTCTATTCTTATTACTGTTCTTCTGAGAGAAAAGCTTCGTTTGAAAATGAAATATTAGGAGCTATCTTGAAATAAGCTTGAAACAAAGTTTTGCAGTTCGTCTTTTTGTGTCACGTGACTTAATTCAGGTAGAAAGCAGATAAACATCCGAGCAGAAATGTTGAAGAATTGAATAAAAGTAGTATATATAATGCCTTTGAAGTGTAATCAAGATCATTCAATCACAGTTGTTGAAATCAAGGGTACTACTTCTGTGCAATAAGCAGCTAATTTTACTTATTCGGAAATAGTTGAACTCATAAAAGACAGTTTATTTGGTAGTTCAAAATGCAATTGATGGGAATATTTAAATTGACTGCGATTATGGATTTATCTGCTGCGTGAATAAGATCACAGGTTATGCGATCTTATGGCAGGTCCTTTAATTAAATCAAATGAACCATACAAAGTATTACGAATAAATATTCTGTGAGTTAAAACGTTTAATGATGGGCATGTAACTCAGGCAGTATGATCAATATCCTCATAAACTTCAGCACAAGACCTTTACTGAGTATAAAGACTATCTTTGAAGTCTACTAAACTCTCAGGCTTAAAAAAACGAGATGGCTGTCATAATACTTAATTAGTAGCATACTTTAGCTCATCCTAGAACAGAATATGGTGTTCCCTTTAAGAAAATTATTTAGAGAATTTCAGAAAATGTCTGCCTGATTCCAACTAAGGTTTATTAAATATTCACAACAAACTTTTGTTAAAAGAGGCAGTTTTTATCAATCTCTACGGCATACAATTTCATAATCTTTCTCAGGTATAGCTAAAAATAGACCTATACAAACTATGTAAAGCTCTTTTTTTTTCAGTAAACAAGCAATAACAAGCTCAGAGACATACCTTATTCAATTGCGTAAGGCATGGTTTTACACTTTTTATAGAAGCATTAGTGTAAAATCTGCATTCATATGTTTTGTATTACTTATACTTTTATACCAAATATTCAATATAGTTTTTAGCATACTAAGTCATCCTTTTATGGAGAGTAGAAACTAAACTTCCTTTCGAAATGAAGAAGGAAGAGTTCAGCAGAAATATATGGGTAGCCTTAAACTTCTCGCTGAGCACTTAGTTTAGATTGAACAAACGACTGAGAGTATTGACTTTTTCCACATGATACTAAACTTCTTTGATCAAAACCTAAAATAGAACTACTGAAAATATGTTTCAGAGATATGGTGGAAGCGGTATTGAAATTTCTGTGCCTTGAGAAAGGAATAATAAAGCGAATAGAACCCATTTGGATAGGAAAATGTGTACTTTTCTTCTTTTCACATTTTTTTTTTTTTTTTTTTTTCAATTTCCTTTCCTGTTTCTTCGCTCTCATAGAATTAATGCCTCTCTAGCGAGATATAATAGCTGCCATTCTGTTTCCAATTTCTTTGCATCATTAGGTTATTCCTGTTGTCTTTGTTGCCTTTTTAGCACATTCTAACACATGTTCAAATAAAACAGAATTTTCGTGGAACGTGATTTGACATGACCACTCTAATATCAGTGCAAACTATAATGTTGCATCTTCTAATAAATACTGTTATTTTAAAATATTTTATGCATATTAAATACTAACTCAAAACAAATAAAATATCTTTTGAATTATTTTAATAAACTTTATTTTTGTTATAAGAAGAATATATATATATATTGTATATATCCAAATATAGTAAATTTGTTTATATGAAGCATATAAATCACACATGTGTAGAACATTATAATTCATTGGTATAAAAGATTTTACATAAATACAATTCATCGATATGGAATATATAAAATTACTTAAAATGAAAACGATGAAAATTAAATATGTGGCTTTTGTTCTTATCTAAGCATATTTGTTTTTCATCCGTTTTATTCTCTCAGCTGAAAAAGGTTTCATGTGACCTTCAAAACTATTATATAATTCAAATTTACACATGCTATGACAAATTCTGTTGTTAATTATTAGTTTGGTATGTATTTTTGTAGCATGTAACAAACTAAGTAGCAACTGAACTCATTCACTGATTTGGCTCGTTGAACTAAGGTTTATGTTTGTTTAAAAAGTTTTAATAATTTTTGGGAATCTGATATATCCTCAGTTTTGTTACGATGCTACGAAATCGCTATATTTTTAAATTTATGCATAATACTCCTACACGAAAAGTTATACAATTTCGTATAAATTTGGGAAGGTAACTTTGCAAAGAAGGAGACCCACTGCTGATTTAAAAAAAAACAAAAACAAAAATAAAAACGGAAAGCCGAGATATATGAAATAATTTGTATATCTGTTATTTTTACATTATTTTTCAAATTCAATGCTGAAAAAATGAAACACAGATGAAATTTAGGAAAACATTTCTTTCTTTATGAGTCTGCATAGTTTTACTTAAAATACAAATGACAACACAATAGCCTTTCACAGCAAATAATTGTCACTTCTTTAATTATATTCACATATCATGCTGAATTTGAATTCTGAATAATATACATTACATTTTTTTATCACAGGTGCTTTGTGTTATGCAGAATTGGGAACTATGATAACAAAATCTGGTGCAGAATACAGTTATATGATGGATGCGTTTGGACCTCTACCTGCCTTCCTCTTCTCTTGGGTTTCTGTATTCGTACTCAAGCCTTCTATGATGGCTATCATTTGCTTGTCGTTGGGAGAATACGTCGTAGAGCCTCTTAATATTGGATGCGGACAAGATACGCTTCCTGTTAAGCTAGTCGCAGCATTAGCCATCGGTTAGTTTGGATGAAGTATTTTTATCTTTTATGAATGAGTTATAATTTATACAAATGGATCTTAATTAATATTTATAATTTTACCCTTTTTAGATTTTATAAATTAATTTTTTCTTTCATTTTTTGTGAGAATTAAGCAATTATATTATGGCAAAGGTAAAAATGTTATGTTCTTTCATAGTCATAACTAAAGGCACCTCATGAAGTTGTTATCACTGCTATCAGTTTATGATAGAACTTTGTAAATATTGCTTTATAATGAGAGGTATGGAATTTTCGTATTTAAGAAATAGATGCAAGTACATGCAAAATTTACTAGTGTTAGAGATAAAATGCGAAGCAATGTTCATGAAATTTTCGAATACCATTTGAGAGAAAATAGGTATTTCAAGATAGTTTGTCTAATTCGCATGACGTTTACGATCTTGCGGCTCTCTGCATATTGTTCGTAGTCCCTGTCTCTCTTTTTTAACCTCGCCTACTGCCTATCGCTCCCCCCTTAGATACGTATTTAGTCACTTTCCTTAGGTCATTCGTCTCTTTAAACCAGTTCAGTAGTGTCACAAGTTGTAGAATTGACGCGTTTTTGTTTCCTTCCAAAATGCATATTCATTTGAATTTAGTAATTTACAGTTTTTTTCCCTCGCAAATTTTTATTGATTGATTGTAAATTTTAATCAGTATGGGTCATGATAAAAAGAAAATAATTCATAATATAAGTTTACACAAAAGGGTTTATAACTTAAACGTTACTGTATGCAAATATTGTAATGTTCGCTTAGAAGGCCAGAAAAGGGATATTTTAGAGACTCATCACTAGTGCTATTTACTTGAAGAAGCAAAATGTACCTACCCCAAGTCTGTATGAGATTAAGCGGCAAACAACAATTTTTGGTAATTTTCAATTAATAAAATGGAGAAAGAAGAATTTTCAGTGGTCTGTAAATGGAAAAATCAGTGGTCTGTAAATGGCGACACAGCCTGCGAATACATGTTGTTGTTGTTGTCTTGTCCACATTATATGGAACAATGCTTGCCCGAGCCTACTCTAAGAGAGGTTGGACTTCTATTTTTCACCTCAATTTTGAGGAAGAGCACCCCAGGGAGATCCAGGGGTCTTCTACCCCTCTCAATCTTCCACCAATTCACAGGAGAAGACTTTCGGCTCGCCGCATATTTAGAGTGCCGCCATGCCGCATCAATACTATATACATTTACAAACATCCATGTCTTATCGGGGATTCGAACCGGGGCCCTTCGGTACCGTAGCCCTATATCGTCTGACCCCTATATCGTCTGAGCCTAACCCCTATATCGTCTGAGCGACTGCGAACACATGTCAAATATGTATTTGTTGCAACTAGGTTAGTTTGGTTTATTTAATTATGGCAAAGCACATTAGGGCTATCTGCCTAAGGGGAGGGATGCCTTCGTGGAGGACGTTCTAAGGGAAACTGGCTCGTATACACGTTACACATGGGGAAAACCACGAAAACTCCCATGCAGCCAGCCCGTTTGCGGGACTCGAACCTCGGACCGAACTACCAGTGTTCAGCGACTTTACCGCTCGGCCACTGATGGGCTTGTTGCAACTACAATTTTTGTAGATTTAGACAGAGAGATATGGATTGAACTTATGTGCTCTACTGTTGCTGAATTGAGAGAATGATTAGCTTGGAGGTGGGTGCTTTGTCACTGTAGACTTCTATACTAAGTTCGCGACTGGAATAAGGTGCAGGAATATTCCCATGTCGGTAGGATAAACAAATTTAGTTGGCCAGGCCGATAGTTGCTGGTGCTTAAATATTCTGGTTATTTCCAATTTTTTAAATATAATTGGTGCTTCTGATGTCCACGTTTTTGAGTCAATTAATGAATTTGTTTTCTGGTAGCTCAGTTACGCTTGTAATATTGCTTATCTAGATAGAGATAAACGGTACTTACGTATTAACGCAGCCGCTTTGGCGCAGCTGTATTTTATGGCAGAAAAAAATGACCTTTTTGTTATAAAAATTACTTTTTACATACATATTTTATGATTCAACTATGTATTTATTCCCCAAATAATCAACAAATTATTTATAAATGGTAACTTATATATATTTACTTATAGTTTTTTCTTTTGCCCCTGGTGAAAATTTCACGGTGATTGCTTTGAGAAGAAATTCCAATTAGCGATTTTTCGGTAAATTACTATAGTGCTGCCAGTATTTTACTATAGTTTCTTCTACCGTAGGCTAATCCTACAATACATATTTTAAAATCAGGTTTAAGACAAAAAATAATCACATAAAATCGTTGGAACTTGAAATATGGCGAAAAGAAAGCATACAAAAATGGCGACGTTGGTTATTAAAACTGAAGAATTGTCATGCGCATGGTTGCCTGAAGAAATGAGCATTCTAAAACTTTGGCGATTTCTACTAAGGTGGTTGCGATAATACATAAGCACCATACAAACTACGATATATAAATCTCGTCTATTTGTGCTTTTTATTAGACTTACCTTGTATCAATACCCTGTTTGACACTGTGCGTAACTTTAGAATAGTGCTTTTGAACGAATTAAAAATGTAGCAAATAGAAATTTTTTGCAGATAACTAATCTTTAGATATCATACAGAAAATAAAAATTAATTTGAATTTTTTCTTTGTATTATTATAATTAATATCGTTTATGTATTTTTGATAAATATTAGTAAGTAAAATTTCAAGTTTAATTAATTATTTTTATTTTGTTAAAAAATTTTTATTTTTAAGAAACATTTTCGTTTTATTAAAAACAAAAATCCACACCCGTCAGCTACTGTCAGATCGTGTATCCGGCCGTCCTCGTGCGATCTGCGTTTGAGACCATTAGATCCTCTAGCTGTGCGTGATGATTTAATAAAATACGTCCCTGGTTTAGATAATCTTCTTTCTGAGATTATTTTACATGCAAATATAACCTTACGCCTTAAAGAGTCTCCACCCATTTTTGAAATGATTCCGAGAACGAAATTGTGATCATCAGCTAAGAGCTACACACCCTGGCCAATGAATTAGAAATCCAAGATAAATATTTTATTGGACCAGCCTTTGCACGGATAACTGCTCCGATTCGTTTGGGCATCGAGTCTATATGCTTCTGGAGTGCATTTACGTCCTGAAAATACCATATATTGGCTATGCAACTTTTTAGATCTTGTAAATTAGATGGGATGGGAGAGTGCTGAAGGATGCGTCTTTCCACCACATACCACACATTTTCTATGGGGTATCTGGGATATGCGGTGGCCAGGGAAGTCAGACTGATGTTCATCGAACCAATTGTGAACTCTTCTGGCACGATGTATAGATGTATAGTCTAGCACCATGAATATCTGTCGCCATAACAGTAAAAATGCAATATTGCAGGGTGCACTTGATCTGCCAGTATATCTAGGTATCTCATGGCTGTTTGTTTACTCTCGAGAAACACCAGGGTACCACTTCCATCCCAGCAGAGCATGCCCCAAATCATGATACTCCCACCAGACCTTTGTACAATGCGAGTAAGGCAAGATGGATTCATGCCTTCATGGGCTTCTCGCCAAATTTGAGGTCTTCTATTAGTGCAAAATTAAGTATAGCGTGATTCATCAGCCACATTACCCGTTTCCAATGCTCAGATGTCCAGTGTCTTCTTTCGCGAGACCACTTCAAATGAATTCTTACATGTCGGGAAGAAATAAATGGTTTTCTCACAGGCACCCGACTATGCATTCCTATCCTTTGTAATTCTCTACGCATGTTTCGAGCTGAAATCTGTTGGGAAGAGCGTTGGTTGACGATCTGTGTCAATTGAAGCACAGCAGAGTCCCTGTTCTGCCGTACTATTCGTCGGAGACGCCGCCGATCACTTTCTTGGAAAATTGTGATCGAACCGCAGAACATCTTCTAGAGAAGGACTGTGGGTTCTGATTACAACTTTATTTTCCTTTGATATAGCTGCTTTTGAGAATCCAGTGCGATTTGCTGTCTTCGAAATCGAGGTCCCTGCTAAACTGGCACCAATAATAAGACCTTTTTCAAGTGGTGAAAGATCTGTCATTTTCCCCATTTTACTTCATTCAAAAGCATTCTTAGACCTTACTTACCCTAACATACTAAACACGTATAACCCACGTCATAAAAAAGCATTCCTAACACGCATTCAAATGAAAATCTCAAAGGTTTCTAATCCATTGGCCAATATGTGTAAGTCAGTGGTCGTAGTGGGCTATGAAACTTCTCACAAAAAGGAAGATGAGTATCTGTAGTGTTACTGCAAAACTACTGATTCCGATGGTTTGGTTTATGTAATTGCCGCAAAGCCTCGAGGGCTATCTACCTAAGGAGAGGGATGTCTTCGTGGAGGACTTTCTTAGGGAAATTTTCTCGATACACGTTACACATGGGAAAAACACGAAAACGCCCATGCAGTCCCCGACTTTACCGCTCGGCTGTTGGTGGGCCACTGATTCAGAAAAATAGCAGATTTTTTTTTGGGAGGGGTAAGAGAAAATTGTTTAGACATTGCTAGTTTTATTTTTTTCCAAGCAACATTTGGTGCTTTGAAGAAATCTGAAATAGAATGCACAAAAGAAAATATCTAATTTCAGATTTACTTTGGATGTTTTTTTTTTTTTTTTGCAAAGTAAAATGTCTAATAACAGATTATGTTCGATTCATAACTGCCTGTTGTAGGTTACTGAAAATACTTGTTGGAGACCATATTTTGCCTTACTAATGTTGGATGAATAGGGTGAGCCTCGTTAGTAACGTATTTAGAAAAGAATTCAGAGCGTTTACCATTGTAACCAAAACAAAAACAGCTTAGTTTTACACACTAAGAAAATAAAAAGTGGGCTTTTAAGATACTGAAAAGGAAGCCACAAAGACTGGCAGCAAAACTTTATTCTGCACCTTTTATAAATAGACTGAATACTTTATTCAAAGCTGTCGTTTATTAGAGCGAATATATGGCGCACGTTGTTGCTTTTTCAATGAATAGGAGGTTCACAACTCCAATATCGATTTCCTAATGAACACCATCAGTTTGGCGCACTCTGTTGTGGAAAACGACACCCGGGTTACCTGGGCGAACCTACCCCGAATCAAAAAATGCAAAACTTTGAAATACGTATCCCGCTAACTTGAGATTAATTATAATAAAATTATATACGTAGATTTAAATTAATATTTTTCAATAATACAAAAAGTATTAAAATTTATGTTAGAAGATGGATAAGCAACAGAAAGCCGTCGAGCTAGTAGTAAATTTACTGTGTCGACCGTGACAGGGCCATTAAAACCTTTAAGGTCTTGCGCTGTTAAACTTACATCGAAATAAAAGGAATGTTTTCAAAAATGAAATTGTATATCGTTATACACGGGTTCAAATTGCTTTCGTTTCTGAATTCTATCCAAAAAAATGAGTAACTGGTTTAGGAAGCTCAAATTATGCATTTTTTAACATCTTTTTCAGTCAACCATCTTCGAGGGCTTAAAAGGATGCTTTTTCGGGCTAAAAGCATCCTTTTAAGCCCGAAATTGACAGTTAATTTGAGGATAAGCCAGAATTTACTTTGGCAAACGAGCAAGATGAAGTTGATTAAAACCGCAAAATGATGTTGATGGCAACAACAGAGAAGAGTTGAAATAAATTGACTGTAAACGTGACATCTAAATCAATAAAATGAATCCTGCAATCGTATATGCAGATTATTTTGTCCATCTTTAGCCGATAGCACGCTTACATCAATTTGAAACTAAATTTTGTTTATAAAGTCATTCCAAAAGTCGAACTCATTGATATATAACAATTATTTTCATAAAGAGCTTCTAACAGTGATAAATCAAGACAAATGTTGATATTGTATGAATTCTTAAATCAACAACATTCTGTCAAAACATCTTTGTAAGATTTCAAAGTCCTTTTATTATTAGCGTGGATGTTGAAAGATATTTTAGTACCTGTAGCATCGTAGTTAAGGATGGAAAACAAAAAGATAGTGAGTCAAGAAACAATTTATTTGAGACTTAAACGACGTTATGTTTATTTTTTCCCTTTATTTCAGTAGCTTATAGTGTAAGTTTCATTAGTTTCAGCAGCTTATACGGTAGTTTTTATTTCTTTCTTAGTCTAAAAGGGACATTAGTCCAGAATGAGATATTAGTCTCGAAACGGTATTTTGCATTGAGGCGTATCAGCTTTCAAATTGTTGCTACCAAATCGCCCTATATTATAGTTAAAGAAATTAAATAATAAAAAATCTTAATGAATATACGCATGTATCTCGCATTGTGAAAAAACAACGGCACTGAGAGCCATCAAAATTTGAGTAACGCAGTCCTCTACCCGAACATGGGCACCTGAAAGCCCGCATTTAATTTCAATTTTTTTTTACTTATTTATTTGTTTATGTTATGAATAAATGGAAAATTTTCCTATTAGCTTTTCAATTTTGGTAAACTCCCATTTTTAAATTTAAATATTATCCCTAATTTCCATCCGGGGAGTTAGCAAGGCCCGGAGATACCTCATATGCCTAGACGCACAGGTGTCGGCCTTGCTTCAACCTATACCTGTTTAACATATCGGATATGTTCAGTTATACGGAACTGTAAAAAAACTGCGTACTTGTCCTGCATGTGCAAAACCATATAGATGACGAATTCTATGAATGGCACACGAATAAAAGTCAGGTATTCTCCTTTTTACGCAGGTGATTCTTTTTACGCTAAAGATTTCAAGACATTAAGAGATTAAAAAGACATAAAAAATTGCAATCTTACAAACATTTACAAAGCAGAGGACTGAGTTTAAAGATAAAAGGGCTTAAAGATGAAAGGGATAGTAGGAATTAGTCTTTAAACAATCCGAAAGTGATGGGAATTAAATGTCTGGAAAGAATTTTTTTTTTTAATATATAGTCTTGATAATGGTAGAAAGATCACTTCAAGAAGAGAAATAATTATTTAGATTTTTAAGTTCGTTTGTCAAAGTGGCAGGAATCGAATAAGAGTATATTGCTGACTAAATTTACAAAAGAATCAATTTCTTGCTTATATTGGGCCCACCAGTGGTCGAGTGGTAAAGTCGCTGAACTTTGGTAGTTCCGACCTGGTTTCGACTCCAGACGAGTAGGCTGGCTGTTCGACGAGTAGGAGTTTCGTAGCGTTTATATCATATCAAACCTTACTTATATAAATGAGCACAGAAAGGATGATGTGGCAAGGAGACAATATATAGTGTACGAAAAATACCTGTGTGAAATTCATAGGCAGATATCCAAACCAGTTCATCTAACAAAGGAAAGCTTACAATTTCTTAAAGAATGCACTTCCCTTCTTGGACATACCGTTAGTATATCTTGAGCACATATTTATTTTCTATTTCATTAAATACCTTATTCATTAGTTCCAGAAAGTGTACATTTTTTATATCGTCATTGTTATTGCATTAGTTTCTGTCAAATAGAGATGAAAAAGAGGAAGGAAGGTATTTGGGCACATGACGCCGAAGTTTAAATAAAAGCTAAATATCACTTGAATATGAATGGGATCTGAATTTTTGAAAGGAGAGTTTGAGGCCTATTGTAATTAATTGCAACTATCCATCATATTCGATATTTAGTTTATTTCAGTTTGTTGATTTGATAATTACCAAGTACGCAAAAGCTATTTGCATAAAGAAGAAGAATGGTTCGTGGAGGACTTTCTAAGAGATGCTCATATTTATGTTACACATTTACACATGCAACAAGCTTGTTCACCGAGATTTAAACAGCAGTTCTACTACCAGTATGCAGCAGTCTTCTCTGGTACTGTTCGGGTTAGTTCAGTTCGATACATTCAAGGCTTGAAAAGTATTTCAATAATGTTAGTCGTTCCGAAACAAATACAGTCGCTGAACACTGGTAGTTCGGTCCGAGGTTCGAATCCCGCAAACGGGATGGCTGCATGGGCGTTTTCGTGGTTTTCCCCATGTGTAACGTGTGTACGAGCCAGTTTCCCTAAGAAAATCCTCCACGAAGGCATCCCTTCGCTTAGGCAGATAGCCCTAGTGTGCTTTGCCATAATTAATTAAATACACAGAAACAAATACTATCTTAATTTGTATTATCATGAGAAATTTATTACATAATCTTAAGATTTGTTTGAGAAAATTATTCTGTGGGTTGCGGCACCGTGTTTTGTAATTTAAGCTTATGAACGCAAGCGTAAAAATAAATACATTTTTCTTCTGCTTCAGGAGTCTTTTTTAACTTCACATTTTAGTGTATGGAATATTTTAAAACCATTAATTTTTAAACAGAGCATCGTAACTTTAAAGTAATCATATTTTATTAATTTCACTCCAATTTAATACAATAATATTTCTTTCTAATGTATATTCCACTTAATAATACTACGCTTGATAAAGAATATGTGACTTCTTCTATTAGCTACTTATAAACCAAGTGATATCCTTCTTATGTGAAGCTTATTGTCATATATCTAATAATATTTTCAGTCATGTTTCTGAGTGTATTATGCAACGGTACTGATTAATATTCATAAATATTTTGATATCTTTAGGGGTGATAACATACATCAACTGCCTTAGTGTAAAGTTAGCCACAAGAATCCAGAACTTCTTCACAGCAGCAAAGTTACTGGCAATTGCTATCATCGTCGTCGGAGGATCCATTAAACTCATGCAAGGTAAGTCACGTATTTCCATAAGAAAATACTTTTGCGAAAGAATTTTGATGAATTGATGTGAAAACTTACTCGGTTAAAGTGCTATTCGGCACATAATGGTTTTGAATACTATGCATGAGCTGCTTCAAAATACACTAATCTTTGTGAAAATAGAAACACCATGAAGGAATAATGCAAATTAATCAAAACTTATAAGAAATGTAAAGACACACAAGGGATTAGAATTAAGAGAAATTTTCCGAATCTGATAACATTTCTGGTGGATTAACGAAGATAAAAAGGTCATCGTCGCTTCAAATTTTAGATACCACATTTTTACCACCTACTGAAAATAGTTTAAGCAATAAGTGAAGAAAAGATGACGTCCCGTTTCTGGTCTCAGATATCGGTAGGGAGTAGAAGTTTTACGAGTAATTCTAAAGAATAAGTACTATGTTTAAAGGATTCTAAAGTATGAATAAAAGTACTTCTAAAGAATAACGACTACGTCTAGAGAACATCGTCTTTAGAACATCGTCTACGTCTAGAGTACGTTAACTATTCTAAAGACTAACATACAGGTATCCAAGATGGGAAAAAATAATTTTAAATAACCTAAAGGAATGGATCGTGCTTGTTATTGCACATATTATACTAAATACAACTCAAAACAAACATCAATAAAATATGTTTCACATATGAAATTCCTGTACATCACCATTATTCGCTCATTAAAATATGTCCAAAGTTTTTTTATTAGTTTCGAATGAGTTTTGATTATAATAAATTTTGGTTATGAGAAACAGCAGTATATTTCTTATAATAGAAAAGTTAAAAGAAATCTTCTGATTTCGGTTTTATTTTCCCTTCAAATTCCTTATTATGAGAGCAGACTGTACATAATTTCTTAATTTATATTTCAAAATTTAATTATTTCATGCTGAGAAAATTTTTACTTTGTACGAAGCAGGCGTTTTTTAATCCTTGAATTTATTAAAACTCGTAAGGGGAAAAATCTACAAAATATTGTTTATAGATTTTAGAAGAACTCCTTTGCGACGTATTAACAAATTATTGCTAGAGTTATACAAACAAGGATGTTGTGGCAATTGCCACCATCACGTCGCAAAGATAAACAGTCAGTGGGAAAGCCTTCCGATGAGACCTCTGGCGATGACTAGTAAAACATTCTCTACTACCGATAACATAGAGCTGTAGTTATGAAGGTGGCAAACGCCACCATTAGGGCAGAAATGGTTTTAAAGCTTACCCCACTGCATTTTAACGGAGTGCACTATATTAATTTGGTGTTCTTTCTTCTCCATTAGGTCACACTCAGCACCTGGCAAATGGTTTTGATGGTAGCAGAGTCACTTTCTCGGACATTGCAACTGCGTTCTACAGTGGTTTGTGGGCCTACGACGGATGGTTAGTGACACGACGTCAGTACAAGACCAATGCCTCCATTTTTTGCTAGTTAATTTGCTCATTCGAAAACGCATACAGAAATAATAGGTAGTTTAGAGAAATGGGAGAATGTATCAGTGGGCTATCAAATTTAACTTCAGTATTTGTATAATATAACTTCAACAAGTCGAAAAGTAGCATAATGTTTTCCTGAAAAGAATGATTAGTTTCAAATATAAGACTTAATATTATTCGATATTCTTCCCACCCTAAAAGTTTACATTTAAACTTATTAAGTAAAATTTGCATTGTCTAAGTGTTATCTAGTCTAAGTACAATAATTTTATTTTTTTGCCCTTATCTAATTATTTTAGTTAATTGCTTTAAAAACTCATTCCGATGTAACTAGAATTAAAAAAGATCTTGTAAGATCTGTCTCTACTTTCCACATCCACTAATTTAGATCCTACAGTGAACCTGGCGAATTCTAGCACAGGCGTGAAATAAATACAAGCACAGAAGAAGAGTGCAAAATAACCCTTTATTAACTCAAACTAAAAAAACAGACAGCACGGACTTCGTGCGTTACAAAAACACCGTTCACTTGCGGCGATAACTAAACGTAGACGAGTATACAAAATCAAATCTGAAAAACAGAACGAGTGCAAGAACGCACTTCAAAATTACTCCTACGAGATGGACTCACAGAGATCTAACCAGCGTGATACTAAACTGATAAGGCCAAAAGGCTTACTCGAGTGACCGCGAAATAACAACGAAACGTGCACTAGGCTAGCGAAACGCGCTCTGAATAAACTGAGATAATCACACGTTTAAATAGCACTTCACTTAAAATTTGCATCCTGGCGAGAGAATGTGAGGGGAAGTTTGAGAAGTTGAGAACAGGAAAACTTAAAAATAAATTTGTTATGCAAATTAAGAAAAACCTTACAATCTAATAATAAAATTTAGCAAAATTTCAACTTTAGGGTGGCGTTGGGTTATTAGATAGCTCTATCGATTTCGAGGGATGCACTAAACGTAGCTTTCCTTTTTTCAAGAAGTGAAGGTATTGTGCAGTAAAACTAAAGCAGAACAACTAAGGTAAGGTGAGTGCTTGTAAAATAAAACCACTTGTATTTGCTGATTAAAATATTCTGTGAAATCTCTTCATCTAAGAAATTTAGCATTTATTCGTAATTAAAAAAAACCCGCTTTTGGTTAAATTCTTAGCCTATTTAAATATATTTGAAACTAAAACAGAAAAATGATTTTGATGTTAAAGCATATCTAATTTCAATCGACCTCACAGTTGAATGAAATTCAGTATCTTCAAGAAAAAGCTCTGTTTGCGTTTTCGAATGAAGCTCTGCAAAGGATGTACCAGAGTGGCCTCAATGTGGGTGTTTCACACGTGCCAGTTTATTAAATCTTTTTTAGACTTGCAAACTAATACTAGTCTACTGAATACAAAAGTATTTATTTACAAGCACTAATTTGCAACTATCAAATATCTAATTAGTCTTCCCCTTAAAAACCCTCAACAGCTTATTTCAAGATCTTGTGTACAATCTCAGAAGCCGCAGTTTTTCAATATAGCAAAACAAATTGAATATCTTTCCTAAATATTTGAATCATACTAAAAGCGTTATATGCATATTTCAATACTGCCACAATCTGAATTTAAAATTTTTTAATATTAAATACAATAGTTTTGTAAAAGGGGGGAAAGAGAAGTTAAGAAACCTTTTTACATGTACATCCATAATATAAACTTTAAATAATATTAAAATAAAACAGCTGATGCAGAAGAAGAATATTCTACATTTAAATGTAATAATTTAATAACTAGTTAATTGATTTTATAAATTATTTTATATAAATCTGCTTTGAAAGTCAATTCAAGTAGTAATAATTTTAATCAATTCAAGTATTAATTAGTATTAAAATCGAAATATAATTTTATAACAGAAGTAACTGAAACATCTAACCTCAAACAGTCGAAGAGTGAATGTCTTTTACCCAAGCACTTGCACAAAAACATGGCATTTACTTGTATAGTACACTTCATTGCGTGATTAATCGTCTATGAAAGAAATAGTCAATTAGCGGCCCGTAGCTAGCTTAATAGAATTTATTATTACTAATCGAATTTCGTAATTAAGGTATATTTCCGTACTTCTAATCACCTTAGGATTACATTCATATAAAAATTATTTAGAATTAATCACACTGATGTTAAGTAGATAAAAAATTATAACTTTTAAATATTTGGTGTACATTAAAAAAGATAAGTTAGTTAAATAATATTCCGTGCAGTAATGTAAATGTTAAATTTTATTCTTTTATGAATGCTTGATTTTCTGGTTTAAAAATTTTGAACATGTTTCTAAATACAAATTCTAAAGTCTTACTTACGAAATTTATGTTTCAAATTATAAAAACTATTTATTAATAATACCTTCGAAATAAAATCGGTGACGTAATTAATCAAACTAAGTAAGGAATAATTCATAGCTAAGGACACGTAGCCCTCTGGTGCATCTTCTGCATATATATTGTGTATATAGATGAATGTATATTTATTTTATGTTTTCAAATATGTGCTCATTGATTATACAGTAGTTTTTTTTAACTATTTTACTCTGTACTTTGTTGCGATGTAAGTTATGCAACACATTCATAAATTTTATTTATATTTCATTTTAACTGAAATTCCTTTTCGTAAATTTTAATCATATTTCAACAATATATTAATGATATCGTAAAATATTTAATAAACTGAATCCTTAAGTCTAACATATCTAAAGCTGTTTGCTAGCTCTGAATGATGGATTTTAGAATGAGCTGCTCCTTCATATCGAGTCTTAAACATCGCGGATCGAATCTTAGACAGACCTGAAATCAGTCTCTTCATTTTGCATCATTTAAGCGCTAGTAATTTGCTACGTATAGTTTGTAAACTAATAGTCATTGAAATATTCAACAAGCACTGAAAATTAGTAAACTAAATTAAAATATTCTGGAAATTAGTACTTTTCTGCTTTCTGTAAATGGGGATTTTCTAAAATAATTGATTATTAGTACTTTTCAAGCGATCAAACCTTCAGCATATTATTATCATCCTTAATCAGATGCTGCTTTACATTAAACATTCCACCTTTTTGATAAAAATTTCATTATTTAAAAATTATAAATGCATTGGATTCTGTTACAATGATTCTGTATTTTGTCTTCCTTAATAGACAAAACTTTTCCCTTTAAGCTAGGTGCAGGAGGTTTTCCAAATTCAGCATTTTTAATCGATATCATTTTAGGAAAGATGTTCCCCTTAAGTCTATAATCTCTAAATGTATTACATTGCTTGTATACTGGATGGATTTTGCTCTTGTATTTAAAGCTGAGACTAGGATGCAAATCTTCCAATGTATACACGATATCCATGATGTTGATCCATGATGTTGATGTTATCTTATTACTTTGCAAGGCATGTTAATTAGCTAAACAGTAATCTGAAAATCTAACAGCAATCTATAAAATGTTTAAAGAATGATTTATAGAGTATGACTTTCTTTGGGAGCATAAATTAGCATCAAACCCCTAACAGATGTTAAATGAATTAATTATCGCTGTGTATGAAAAATCAGAACTTGATTATAAAATGCATGTCTCTTGATCACATAATCAGCTACCACTTGTGGTGATGCAGCTTAAAGTAACAGTCAAATTCAAACTGTAAAATGTAAACTAGTCAACTCAAGACTACACAGGTAACTTTAACCCTAGGTTGGCTCAGAACTTCAACTAGTATAACAGTTTAAATGAGACAGCCATAACGCAAAGCGGAATAATTTCAATCTTATCCGATTTGGTGAAACTGAGTGGCCTCGACAGGTAGAAACACGTTGTGTTCTTAAAATCCGAAAACCTCAGCTTAAATACTCTCTAACTCATTTACATTTCTGGTGAGGAAATAGAAAGGAGAAATTATAGTAAAGGATGCAACTATAAATAATTTAATTGAAACATTAAATGCTTCAAATTCATTAAATAACCGGGACAAAATGCCTCGTATTTGTATGGGATAACTTTCTTACTAACAAAATACATGCAAGCGTAAGTAGATCCATGAATAAACTTAAATGTAAGTAAATTACGAAACTGAGGAACTGTAATTATAATTCAGATAACAAGAATAGGTGATAATTTCTTATTGAGCAACCAACCGAAGTAACTGAAGGTAACAAAGATGTAATGCGTTCAGAATAATAAGTAAGAAAAAAGTATTCCGAGCCACACATATATGTGCTAATTAATTTTTAGCAGACCTAAATAAATCCAATTGAAGAACAGGATGTAACTGAAAATCAAACAGGTGTGTTTAATCGCATGTCTGTTAAAAAATATTGAGCAAAATAATCATTTTTCGAAAGAATCGACAGTTTTAAGTACAGCATGACTGTTGTTACTAAGTAATTGTATAAACGGTTTAGTAGGTAAACCTGATATTCTTGAATATTATGAATAAAATGAGAGATAGAGTAACATTATCTTGAGTTGTAACGTTTCATAAGTATTTTAGTTGGGATATGTCGCGAAATATCATAATGAGCGTTCTTCCGAATGCTAAATGTCAAAATGGGCGTATTGTTTTGTGCTGGAGTAATTACAACGCCACCATTATTGGCGATGTCTGCATTTGTTGCAGCAAGAGCTGAATGCACGTGTTTAGTACTTTTAGCAAAATTAATTCCAGGACAGGGAGGTGCTGACAGCTTTTGCTAAGGGACCATAGCGTTATGAACAATTCCTAAAAAATGTCATTGATCTCATAGACACTAGCAGCCCTTGGGAATTTCAATATTCAAAAGATACAGGACAATATTATACAGGAGATATTCAAAAATTAAAAATGATACATACTTCTATCCATCAGATAGCTTTATCTGCTGCAGATTCTCGGGAAACATGAAAACTAAGTATTATTGAAGTATAATAGTTCGCAGGGGCCTGAACAGACATTTTATTCACATGAGACATTTTATTTGCATTATCGTTTACATCATGCACCTAAATTCGCTGTTAAATAAAGCATTCAAGAAATGCCTAGAAATTGAACTTCAATATTTCACACTTTTTATTAGTTTATTAGTTTACGTTTTTATTTGAACTTTGGATTAAGTGCCTTTGACATTTTCTGATCATGCTTTCAGATCTCTTTAAAATTGTTCGCTTTGTTATAAATCTAGCTGTAGCCATAATGTAACATGTTAGGCAAAAGTTCAGTTTTCGTTTATTGTAAGTTTATTAGAGATTTCTTCAGACATGAAGGGAATAGTGTGTCACATGCACTTTTCTGAAATAGCAAGATGATTCTCAGTATTTTTTCCGTGAATACTTTTCCTTCTTGATAAAGCAGGATCTATGTTGCTTGACCAACAGAATATTTTACTAATAAACTACTGTCAAATTAAGATAGAATTTTTACCTAATTTTATTTTCCTAATTTTATTTTTCGTTTATTGTAAGTTTATTAGAGATTTCTTCAGACATGAAGGGAATAGTGTGTCACACGCACTTTTCTGAAATAGCAAGATGATTCTCAGTATTTTTTCCGTGAATACTTTTCCTTCTTGATAAAGCAGGATCTATGTTGCTTGACCAACAGAATATTTTACTAATAAACCACTGTCAAATTAAGATAGAATTTTTACCTAATTTTATTTTCCTTTGGTGTATATGTCATCCTTTATACAGAAAATGTAGCGCGTGACAAAGTTGTTTACATTGCTTGGCTTTCAAAAAATGTGCTAATATAACTTAGTATTTTTTGTAAGTGCATAAAGTAAGTTTTGTTTTATTTATACTTAGCCGTGTTAATATTTAACATTGTAATATTCCATATGTATATATACATATTTCTTTCGTACTTTCGCTCCTGTTTAAAAATTCTCCATGATGCTGAAAGTTTTGAAAACATTTACTTTCGAGTTCAAATAACTTAAGAAAATAGAAGGAAAGAATAGTTTGTTGTAGTCCCAAAAGCTGGTAAATTGGCTTTCACTCAACATTGTCACGTGATTAAGTGAGATATCAGGTTAAGCTGAGAAATTTCTTTGCTGAATGCACAAAATGGCCTTTTTACGCTGTTCATTTTGTTTTGGGTTCTTGAGAATTACATGTTTTTTTGTTCATAAGCTAATTACATCTCTTTGCCTAACGAACAAGATAGTAATATACAAATTTTGTGAAACAAAGACAGTAGTTTCATAGATTTGTCTTTTGAAGTTTCCAAACTCTTTTCCAAAAAGCAAGATAAAATGAAAAGAATACTGAAAAAGCAGTTTTATTTTTCCAGAAATCTGAATATTTGCCGTCATCAGAAATCGTAGAAATCTATAACTTTTCTTATTTTCATAACTTCATACTGATCTAGTTATAAAATTTCCAGAATATTTCTTTTATATTTTTATTTTGCTTCTGTTAGCCCATAATTTGCGTTCCTTCATTTAAAGGAAACTCTTTTAAAATAGCCCTGTTACCAAAGAAACTGATAGAAATTATATTAATATTAACAACAGATCTATTTTGATAAAAATGCTTCTATTAAAGTTCTAATCAATATCATAGCATTTTTAAATTTTTCAATGCAATTTAATACAATGTACTCGTTCTTCAGTTCTGTACTTACGAAAATCATTTTTGAGCTGTAAAATTTTAAAGCAAGGAAGAAAGATGTTGTGTGATTTCAAGATATTCTCTAATTGCTGAAAGTACTTCTAGCAAAAATTCTTATTACGTTATAATTGAGACAGAAATATTTGAAAAGCATAAAATTGAAATGTCCGGGAAAATTTTCATGTGTGGATTCGTTGTTTCCAAAAATTGGATGAGAATATTGATTTAACTTATTAAAGAAACCTGAAAAATGGGCGTTTAGGTGTTTGGCAAATATTTGAAATAAATTGTTTTTTTAATGTGAAAATATATTACACTTTCATATTTATTGAATATCATTTCGTACGTTTTATATATTAAAGAAAGTTAAAACTTATAGCTAATAATTTAGAAGTTAAAGAATGTTTGCTTTGATTCAAACCTGAGCAAAGAAATATTATATACGTTTTAATTATTAAAAAAGAGTAAACCTTGGTCAATTTATCAAAAAATGAAATACGAACGAATCTTGCATGATAGTTAAAATGTATATTTATTTAACTATAAAAACCGGTTGCGCTGTAGTTATTTCGATACTGTGATAAGTTTCACACTTAAACATAGAAAAAGAAATTTTGTGATCGCATGCTAATTGAATGAAATGCATTTAAAATTGACTTTTGCAAATGTATGTATTACTGATCATGTAATCTACATTTTAATCAGTGCTCTGGTAATTACAAGGATAAAAATTAGTTTAGACAAAAATGTCGTTAATGATATCATTAGCTTCTGAAACTGTCAAATTAGATTCTGATGAAACCAGTTTATATTTTTAACAGAAAACAGAACTAAGTAATATACTAATTCAATTTTCCATTAAAAAAAAAAAGGTTGTTCATTGCTTATGCATAACAGGAAACGAAAATAAAAACGAAAAGAAATAAAAATGTTGTAAAACTGTTACTTTATTTTATATACAGTACCTTTAAAAGAAAGAAATGATATTTACTGTTGTAATATTATAAAATCATTCAGAAATTTTATCTAGATTTTAGAAAATTTTAAGCGATGCGAAAGTTGCCTGTTTATAAACATTATTTATAAACATTGAAAGCTACTGAAAATATAAGAATGTATGAAGACTGAAAAATATGATGAATTTACTAGAAATGAACCTGGAAAATGAATTGATTCAGGAAGCAAATAAAATTTAGCTGCAGAAATTACCATAATCTAAATAAACATGCAATACTATATTTCTTTAAGTAATTAGTAAGTCTTTTCTTCTTCATCTCAGAGGGCAAAAATGCGAAGAACAGAAATGTGCTGAAGTGAGATTATTCTTCTAGAAGAATCATCTAGAAATTCCGTCTGAAAGCAAATTCCCCCCCCTGTTATATGAGATGGACGATTAATAGCAATTCTTCTTTGATTTGTTACAAAATTGCTCGCATCTTAAAGAAGTTTAATTTTGACATTCTTTCCATGCTCATAAAATTCTTAATTGAAATTTTTAAAAATATATATGACCTTCTGAAATATCCCAGAGCCCTTTATTAGTGTGACTGACTTATACATTTGTCAAACAAGGTGAATTGTGAAATTTTGAATCAATAGCAGAAAATTTGATATTCGGGGAAACAAAATTCAAAATGATCCACTGCACACCATAGCTAGTTGAGAAACGCAAAGTATAAAATTGCTGGTTACGCTTTCCAACTTTTTGCTGCCAAAGTTATTCAAAAGGCTTCTTCATTTGGCAAAGTACTTTTTCTGATGGTTTTCCACGTACATACTTTCTGTTTAAATGATTAAAATTCTAATTCCCCTATTAACGTTTTGCCTATAAAGACTTTTATCCCCCAAGTTGCTTCTTTTTCATTTTCATATAAGTTGACAGTATCAAGTGTTGAATTTCCTAGGATTTTCTAGAAACTTTTCGATGGTTTTTCTTTATTCGCAAAGAAGCATATGTTCCTGTTCATCTTGTTTTCTCACTTAGTGTTGAAGGAGAAGGTATTGATTTGATCTTCATAATTGTGGTATTTCAAGTTTACTTACGGTACATTAATTTCGACTGCTATTTTTTCGCTTTTGGACAGTGACAGTATTTTAAATTTTTCAGATTTTTAGATAATAACTAATTTCTGAATACGTCTCATCTAATTAATATGAATGATAAATCTCATAGTGGAAAATATTTAACTTTTATGTTCTATGTTATAAATCTGGAAAATATTTTCGCATTTTTAAAGTTGTGACGTCTTTGTATAAAAAGAGATATATCTTGAATTATGATTCTTTATTCTTAATCAGTGTTATTGTATACAGTCTCATCGCGTCTTCAAAGATTAGACATAAAATTTTATCATTAAAACTAAGTGGAAAATATAAATTAAATTAAATTTAATATAAAAAATAATTTAAATGTAAAATAAAATTACTTTATTATGAAAGAAATGGTAAATGATATAAATAAAAATCTATCATTTTTTGTTGCGAATAAAAGCTGGCTTTAAAAATACAGTTATCAAATACTTGCTTAAACAGCATTTTTATCTAAAAATTGCAACTAAGCTATTTAACTATATTTTATTTCTCCTCACATTAGTAATTTTTAACACAGGCATACTTAAGGGGAAAAAGAGAATAACTTCTTTGGATTAAGAGAAGTAACAAACACATTTGAATGCTGCAAACTGATTTCAAATAATAACCGATAATGTAAATACTAAGATGAATAATTAAATTATTAAATTAAAGACAAAGCTGAAAATGTTTTATACACATTTGGGCTAATTTTAAGTCCTTAATGCAATAAAATGGTAACATTTTGATGTGATTAATATCAGTATGGAGATATGTTTTGTTGAGGACACGTTCAATCAACAGGAATGAGATTGCCAAATGGAAAAATTGTCAAATTTGAGAAAAAAAAAAAAAAAAAAATAGGGAATATATCAGTCGTAGTAGATATTTTATTGTAGACTGGCGACCTTTGTGTTCATTACAGAAACGTAATATATTTAGTAGGGGGTGTTTAGCAGTCCTGTCGAAGTATTGATAATTTTCCTTACCGCATGATATGATTATCTAATCCATTATAGTTCTCAACTTACGTAAATCATCGTGATATAGGGAACAAAATCTGTTACGGTTATTTAGCAGCACAGGTTAAAAGATTAACCAACAACCTCTTCTCCACGCTAAAATAGCGTGGAGATGAAATGGGAAAAGGGGGGGCAAGTGAATGGATGTTATTTTCATGCTGTATTATTTTTTATGCAGGAACAACCTCAATTATGTGACGGAAGAACTCAAGAATCCATACGTGTAAGTATCCTTATCATTTCAAAAAAAGTTCTACATTAAGATAATATTACGCTAAGTTGCTTATTACAGTTAAACTTAAGTGTAAAATATGCATAAATAATTAACTTCAATTATGTCACTATATTTATTTTAGTAATTAAAGGAATTATTTCTAATTTGATGTAAATACAATTCTACACACTGCTTCAGCTGAAGAAGTACATTATAGTAGGGTCAGTCCATAAGTTCGTTCGCATTAAGAGTATGCGTTGGAATTCACTATGACGCATTTACTAAAACAATACAATTTTGAACCTGTTGAAACTTGTCATCGTTTGACTAACATATTATTCAGTTTATCACCAACTTTCGTAAATATCGAATGCATTTTAATACCCATAGAAGATGAATATAGATAATCAGTACAAACGTGCTGTGCTACATTTTTTATTTTCGTGTGGTGAATCTGCTAGGTTTGCAGTGATAAAAATTAATAGTGTACATGGTGAACACACTATTAGTGTAAGCGTAAGGGCTGCCCAGAAGTGGTTTAAAAAATTTTAAGTTGGAAAAACAGCATTGATGATGAACCACGTTCAGGACGTTTTGAACTGTTAGAACCAAATCAAACGATTAACCCAGAAGTTTATAGTGAACAACTTTGCCGTCTAAACTCAGAATTGATCAAAAAACGCCCACGATTGGTGAATATCAAGAAAGTGTTGTTTCATCATGATAACGCTAGACCGCATACGGCTCGAACAAAGCTGTAAAAAATTAGTGAATTTAATTGGGAGCTTTTGCTATATCCCGCTTACTCCCCAGATAATCTTCCAAGTGATTTTCACTTATTTTGTGCCTTACAAAAGTTTTTTTTTAAATTAAATTCTAAACAGGATGTACACAATGAACTTTCAAGCTTTTTTGCATCAAAACCAGAGTCTTTCTACAGCAATATCATAAAAAAGCTGCCTGTAAGATGGCAAGACATTGTAGATGATGGAGGAAAATATATAATTGATTAAAATGTTAAATTGCGTTTTTTTATATTATTTAAAAATTTACCAAAAAAATGCGCACGAATTTATGGACTGAATATTTATATGCTTCCTTACTATTGCAAGTAATTTCGCAGTAGTTTCTATGATAATAATTCTTGCATGTAATAAGAACAGTTATGATTAATTTTTTTACAAAGTGGTATTGTCTGTAACTGGCGTTATTAAACTGCCTTGTATAATTAACACATACTGTATACTATTTTGTATTACAGTTCTCAATATTTTCTATACACAAAAGCAGTAATTATGAAATATTAAATTAGTCTCTTATGTTTTTAAAACATATTTCAAAATAATTGAACCTAAGTACGTCATCTTCCTAATAATTAATTAACTGCCTTTAAATTCTTTCAACAAATTGTAAAATTGCCTGTATTTATTTCCTATATCTCTTATGATAACGTTCTTTCAATTAACAAAGCTTTCATTCAGCATCATATGCTGATGAAAAACTTAAAAAATTTAAAATTAGGAATGAATAAATTTTAAATGCACCGTATTAAATATTTCCTACTTTAAAAATTAATGCGATTATGACAGAATAAGTAGTGGAAGAACGGTGGAAGTCCTATGGGAATAGATAAAAAAATGTTCTCATTTTAAAGTTTTTTTAATTGTTTTAAATATAATGTTTCCATTGAAAGATATTTTTCAGTGCGATGGAGAACTAAGATTAAGAACTAATATGATAGAACTTATTCTACGTACTTATTATGTTTAAATTATTAAGAAAAAATACAAATATTTACGTTCTTTTAAGATTGTGTGTTAGATTCATTCACCGAGCATGTTTTTTTTAATTCTTTTTCACTGCTCCAGAACGCTCTTTTTTCTAGTTTTTCTACAGTTTTTAAATTATTTAAATCCATTAAAATATGATTTGTTTCATAGGATATAACTATATATAATCAGTATAATAATCTGCAGTGTATAATCAGCATTTCTAACGTATCACACTTCTAGAAAGTTTCTAACTGTAAAATAAATGCAAGAAGGGAAATTACCTAACTGATTTCCAGTTCTTTTGTAAGTTTAATTATTTTAAGCATATTGGGATGATATGCATAAGATTCTTAAGATATTTTAAGGATGTTATGTCCATTAATTTAACAGCATTGTAATGACAAGGTTTGGGTATGAAATTCCAAATTTATTGGAAATGGATATTAAAGGAGTAATAATCGACAAAAATATGATTTTGTTGTTTAATTTAATTTCTGGAGTAGTAATATTTCAATAGAAGAATAATTGCATTCTACAGTATTACTAGAAACTTTATTAATACTAATCCTTGCATATGAAAAATGTTTAAAATTTGAATTTTTGAAATACTTTATTTTTGATCTAAATGTTAAAAACATTTACTACTAATATACTCCTTAGTAAATACTTTCCTGTTTAAAAGATAAACAGCAATCAAAGTATGCAAATAATTTTGTTTAAGCGCATTTTAACCTTTTCGTTTCGATTTTATTGAAACTTTTATTGATTTCATACAGTAAATTATAAGAAACCGCAACAATATATGTGTATAGTATATTTGTTTAGTTATATGCTCTCATTTTTACCCTCCTCAATTCTCTTCTTTTTATGAGAGCCAAAATGTCATCCTCTCCTATAGTATTTTTATTGAAACAGTATGTTCCAAACAGTATATCACATTGGAAATTGAAAACATTTCATTTTAATATTCTGAAAAATGTAGATGTAAATTAAATTTTACTTATTCACTATATTTACTTATTAAATATATGTTATTTAACGAAATTTTATTTTTAGCATGTCCTATTTTTCTATAAATAATTTAATGTTAATTCCATTATACTTTCACATGATGCTTGTTGCCATATTTTTAACATAAACATAAATGCTTTTCATTATTAAAGTGAGTATAACTATATTTTATTAATTAGATGAAATATTCAAAATTAAAGTCATTCTTCTCAAAGTAATGATATGATTATAATATCATAATTAAATATTGAACTTGTTGCTGATATTTATTAAGTATTGCTGATTTTTGCTGTTTGAATTTGTTGCTTTTTTATTTAGAATGCTTGATATCTTCACAGAATATGTTATGAAATATTTTATTCATAAATTGTAGTTATTGAGTTGATTAAAACCTGTCTATTAATTACATATTAGCTAAATTACATATGAAGGCAACAGTAAAATTTGCTTAAATAATATTGACTGAATGAAGCATTTTTCGAAACTAAGGACAATACTCATTCTTTACTTTAATATTATTCATAATTATGCGAGATTTATATTGCGTCTGTATTGACTGAGAAAGCGTACAAATGCTAATTAAAGAACATTTTACTTTGAAAATGCCTATAATCCTTTATTTCTTCTTGCCAGATTACAAACAACCTTACAAGAAAAATCGAATGAGACAAAAAAAAGTGTCTCTTATTCCATTCTTATTGTAAGGTTATTTATCCAAAGAAACCTCAGTAAAGTTTTGGGATTTTTTATATTTATACATATTTGAAAAAGAATGAAAACTGAAAAGTTAAAATGCATCCCGATGCAGTGATATGTCTGGATTTCAATAGCATTCGTTTCCATGGGGTAGAATACTTCCATTCCAAATTTCAGGTTCCCGAGGGAATATTTGAGGCAGATAAAGTATCGACATAAAGACGAATTGCACAGAACATCGACATGTCGAAAATAGGTTTTTCATATTCCAGTGGATCTGAAACCAGAGGGTAAAGATCCTTGAAAAAAATGGAGTTGAATATTTTCGCGATCTCACCCCTTACTAGTGTATCGAAGGGTAAGTAAAAATTAATTTAGCTTGAGAATGACTAATCAAAATTGTACTTCAAATATAGTTTCCAGTTCTACCAACAGCGATATTTAACATACTTAAGATTATCAAAATGTAAAGGCTTTCAGTTTGTGGGAAGCGAACACTATGGAGTAAAATAGCATTTATTATATATATATAATATATATAAAGCTATTTTTCAGTAATTTAACGAACAGAGATCTACAACTCGAACTAAATAAAAAGAGTAAATGCTGGAATATTATTACTTATAAATAAATATTTGTACAATGTTTCTTCTATGTTTGTACACTAGAAAATAGCAATGCAAAGTAGATGAAATATGTCAAATAGCTGTTGTTTAACAAATAATAATGCTTTATACAGTTTGTTTTATCTTTAATCAACAGCTATCACGAGTACGTAAAATATCTAGTAGTCGAAAGAAACATTCAGAAGATTAAGGGGTGTTGGAACAAAAAAAACTTCAAAAAATGGGATTTTGGATTTTTGCATCTTCAAATTCTCTACACTTTTATCTTTCTAAAAATACCATTCTTTAATCCCTATGAAAATTAGAACTGTAAAAAATCTAGTTTTAATTTGTCATCGAATGCTTTGGTAAATGAGAATTTGTACATTAAAAACGCGTTTTTCTCCAAACGTGATTTTTTTATACTCGATGCACCTTTTCTCAGGAACTACTGCTCACATGTATCTAAAATTTTTATGGATATTTATTAGGTTTCCTAATATTTACTGAAATGAGCTTTTTGTGATAAACTAAGGAAATAAAATTTAAAACAAAAATTTTTGTGTGAAAAAGTGCTAAATTTTACTATGCTTAACAAAATATTCTGTAAATTACAAAATGTTTCAGAAGCTCATTTCAGTATAATCAAATAGGTATACGTTAATTACACAAGAAATTTCATGCGTATATCTACAGTAGATTATGAGAAAAGGTACACCGAAAATGGCCAATTTAACATTGTCGCTATAGGAGTTTCTAACACACCTTAAACAATAATGAAGCATTCCATCCTTTAATGACAACTGGTTTATGATAAAAAAAATTGTGAATTTGGCTCTAGAGTAGTCAAACATCGTAACAAAACTTGCTGCATAAAGTTCTGAATTCACTGGATCAATAATGTTTTCTTGAATCGTAGTAATTC